GGTGTTGTCAGTGTTCTCTAACTCCTGTTGTGTCTGGACATCCTAGGTTGTTAAATATTCATTGGGTGCTAGGTCCTCGGGCTGGGCTGAAGAAGGTCCTGGGCTAGGCTGGGCTGGGTGAAGCTCGCCTCCCAACAACTCACGGTGCCCCAGTGGCTGCCCCGAGCCAGCCATCAAACTCCTGCTCTTTACCTCTTGCCCATTTGTGGGGACCTGGCAGTTCTCCAAGCTAAGCTGGTTTTTCTTTCTTTCTTTCTTTTTTTTCTAAGCTGGTTTTTCTAGAATAGGTTCCTCTTCCACTACTCTCTGCCTCTTCCTGTTCACAGCCCCTGGCCAGTATCTGGTTCGAAGCATAGCTGTCCCCATGTGAGGTCAACTAGAGAGGTCAGAATTTGGGGACTGCAGACTGGAATAGGAGCCCAGCCTCCCTACTGTGACCTCTGTACTCTTGAGCAGGTCTCAGTCATTTCCTCATCTGTAAAATGGGAATGATAATAACAATGATTGCACCTTTGACAGATTCCACACCAACAATGCTTTGAGTCCAGTTGATTCTCTCTTGACCTTGGTGTATACTGTTTACTCCCACAATATAAATCTTTATGTCCATGCAGTTGGGGGCTGGGGAGACAGTAAGACCCCTGGGCTCCCACTGGTGGGATTAGGAACAGGCTCTGCCACTTAGTAGCTGCATGACTTGGGGCAAATTATCCAACTTACTGGAAAAATGGGAACGAGAGCATCTATCCCCTAAGGCTGTTGCTGAGAATTATGATATAATGCAGATGACAAGTTTAGCAGAGACCTGCCCACAGTGGGTGGTTGGCCCATATGAGCATCATTAAGTCACATGATGGTGTCCCCCACCCCCATCCCCTCTACTTAGAAGTTATTCAGAGGAAGGCGTGTGTGCAGCTAGCTCCTGGAGGGGAGGAATGTGGCCATAGGTACCATCAGGTGCTTGTGAAATGCTGCTTAAAAAAATTTTTATTTATTTATTTATTTGAGAGAGAGAGAGCGTGCTAAGGTGAGCAGGGGAAGGGGCAGAGGGGGAGAGGGAGGGAGAGAGAATCCCAAGCAGACTCCCTTCTGAGCACAGAGCCCAACATGGGGCTCAATCTCACAACCTGAGATCATGACCTGAGCCAAAATCAAGAGTCAGATGCCTAACGGACTGAGCCACCCAGGCGCCCCTGTTAATCACTTTTTTGATGAGTGAGAAAGAACCAAGATGATCCCTTGATAGCGGCTGAGGGATAGCGGCTCCTGCTCCCCTGCCCGCCCCACACCTCTCCCTCTGCTAAGCAGCTTTTCGAGGGAGGAGGGTGTTAATTGGTGCAGTCCCTCAGCCTTCACTCAAACCTGCAACCTGCGGGGCTGAGGGTTTCCCCAGAAGGACCTCCTCGAATCTGGACAGGCAAGGAGGGGCCTTGCCGAGCCCAGAGGCGGGGAAGTCCTGTCTTCCAGAGACCTTCCTGCTCACTAGCTTGTGCAGAAACTCCAAATAGAATCACAGCCAGCCAGGGAAGGGGATAAAATTAAATCCTTGATCATGATCAAGTAGTTAAAAAAAACCCGTCACTGCCAGAGGCTCCTTCCCACTGCAGCCGGCTCTGCTTCAGAGCAAACAGGAGGACAGGGGAGCCACTGTGCCCTGAGCCCTGAGCCCCCAGCACCCCCCTTCCCCTCCCAGGTTACAGATCTCAGCCTCCAGGGCCTGAAGTCCCTTCCCACCCCACTGAACCTCAAAGGAGTAAGATGCAGCCCTTCCAGGCCTCAGGCAGTGGTTGCCAACCTGGGGAGGTCCTTCTGGGCTCTGGGCTCAGCTGCACACACCTGGGTTCCAAATCAGGCTGTGACAGTTACAAGCTTTTTTGGTTTTTTTCTTGCGACAGGGTCCATCTGGGGGTGCACCTCAGCACTGCAGGTTCCGGGAGGCTGGGGGACTGCTCCAGTTAATGCCCTTCCCCCTCACAAGATCTCAAGGTTTCAATCCAGCGCGGAGCTGCTGTGGGGCTCAATCTCATGACTCCTGAGATCAAGACCCCCAACTGAGATCAAGAGTCTGACGCTTGGGCAGCCCAGTGGCTCAGCGGTTTAGCGCCGCCTTCAGCCCAGAGTGTGATCCTGGGGACCCAGGATGGAGTCCCACGTCAGGCTTCCTGCAGGGAGCCTGCTTCTCCCTCTGCCTGTGTCTCTGCCTCTCTCTCACTGTCTCTCATGAATAAATAAATAAATCTTTAAAAAAAAGAGAGAGAGAGAGAGAGATGCTTAACCACCTGAGCTGAGCGCCCCAGGCGCTCCTGATTACGAGCTGTTTGATGGGGACACACCACCCAGCATGGTCAAACCGGCTTCCCAGTCTGGGACATGGGAGTGGACAGAGTCACTTTGTGAGCCTCAGTGCCTGCCCCCCAACCCCACAGGCAATGGGGGGGGGAGTGATTGGCTGGGGAGAATTTCACACCAACCAGACTGACCGAAGGCTAGGCTCCTCCTTATTGTCTCCATGAACTGGCAACTCTGACCCCTGGGGCTGAGGATAGGGGAGGGGGTTGGGCCCAACTTTGACCTTCCCTGAGGCAGGGGCTGGGCTGCTCAAAGGGTTGTGGTTTCTTCTTCTTCTTCTTTTTTAATTAATTTATGAGAGACAGAGAGGCAGAGACCCAGGCAGAGGGAGAAGCAGGCTCCCTGCGGGGAGCCTGATGCAGGACTTGATCCCAGGACCCTGGGATCACTCCCTGAGCCAAAGGCAGATGCACAACCACTGAGCCACCCAGGCGTCCCTTAAGGGGTTTCTTCTGAACAGGCTGCAGGTCGAAATAGCCAGGTATTGTGAGGTAGACAGGCCCAGACACCCACCGGCCTTGGAGCTCCCAGGCCTGGCTCTGGCACCTTCTGTGTGCCTCTCCAGCCTCATGGCCATCTTCTGTAGAGGGGCTCTGGGGCTGCACCTGAGAGAGAGCATGGCTGTGCTAGGGCCACCTGGCAGGGCCGAGCCCGGCAGGCCCCTGGGTGTAAGGAGGGAGGCCTGAGATGTCCCTCGGCCTGGGAGCTGGGACGCTGGGAGAGGAAACAATGAGGCGGTAAAAATAGCTCTTTGTTTCCCGTAGGCTGCACATCCTCCTGCGTCCCTGTGTTTGTGTGAAAGAAAAACACCAGCCACCCTGGGGAGCCAGAGCAGCAGGCCTGGCCCCAGGCCCCAGGGTGCAGGGCTCAGCTGTGAGTGGAGATGGGGCCTGGCTCAGGGGCAGCAGGACAGGTCCCAGGGGGGGCCAGTCTCCCCCTCAGCTGTGCCCACACACCCTCCCAGGCCTCATTGGCCTCACTGGCCTCTGTGAGCAGCTCCTGAGCCAGGGCCCTTGGCGCTCCCTCAGCAACAGCCCTGCCCACCCACCCTTCTCAGCCTGCTGCTCTTGCTGGCTCATCCCTTGGGAATCTGTCCCGGCGCGGGGGTCCAGCCTCCCAGGAAAAGGTGGCCCGTGGACTTTTCTCTGGCTGAATCACCCCCACCCCCCATCCAGAGCTGCCTGGGCTGCAGAGAGGACATACCCTGAGAGGGGCGGCCTGGACTCTGGTCCCTCAAGGTTTCTATCCGGAACCTTCCTTCTCCATAGCTCTCACAGATCCTCCCAGCTCACGTGGCTTGCTCCAGAGGTGAGTAAACCCTGAGCCATCTGGATGACCCCCCTCCACCCCCAACTTCTCTAGACTCCTGGAGAGTTAACCCAGCCCAGCTGTACCACTGAGCCAGTCAGGAACTGCTGACCGAAGACTTGCTGAATATGAGCTGAGGAGGCAGGGATGAGAGGAGGCAGTTTTGCCCTGTGGTCTCCAAGGCCGCTGCGGCAGGCTGATCTGGAAATAGGCTGCAGCAGAGCAGCGTCCCATGGGGAAGGACAGGCTGGGTCACCAAGGAGGCAGAGCAGGGCTGGCATACCCAGGCTTGCCTACAGGGAGCAGAGGGCGTCAGGAGGGCCCCTCAGAACTCCAGCACCTGCCCATGGGCCATCCTTCTCTCAGCCATGCTCTGCAGCTCATGCTGGAGTCAGGGCAAGGTAGTGGCAGAGGCCTATGTGTGCCCTGGCTGGTCCCTAGCTCCTCCCCAGTAGCCAGACCGAGAGAGGGCAGCTGGAGAGGCCCAGAAAGCTGCCTCAGAAGGAGAAAACATTTGGAGTGATGTGTCAGGGCAAGTCCTTGGGTGGTGCTGGAAAACCAGCAGTGCACCATTACCTACCTGGCCTGGTGCATTCCTGCTGGTGCTGGCTGGATCTGCTCCTGGCACCACCTCCCACCCCAGGCTGTGTGATCTGCTCAGGACCCCAAGCATTTGTCTCTGGGGAGAGGAAAGACAAGAGGGGATGTCCTAGTACCTGTCCCCCCTCTGAGAAGCCAGGAGGACGAGCTCATGCTTGGGGGCTGAGGACAGAGAAGCTTAGGAGATTAAGCTCCTCAAGGTCATTAGCCAGAAGGAGAGGCTGGGAGGTGAGGAGGGAGTGGGGCACTGCAGAGAGAGCACTGGACCACTACCATTAGCCCCCGACTTTGGTTGATTCTATTCTTTGTGTCAGAGCCTCAGTTTCCCGGCTGTAAAAAGGCTCATGGGAGTCAGTGCTGCCCCTTAGGTTCTCCCAGCCCCCTCCCCCTTTCCAGTAAGTGTGGCCCAAGCTTTAGCTAATGACCTATGGGTAGACGTGAAGGGTCATTGCAGGTGGAAGCTTTTTTTTTTTTTTTTCAGTTAGCAATGTTTATTATTATTTTTTTAATAATAAATTTATTTTTTATTGGTGTTCAACTTGCCAACTACAGAATAACACCCAGTGCTCATCCCGTCAAGTGCCCCCCTCAGTGCCCGTCACCCATTCACCCCCACCCCCCACCCTCAGGTGGAAGCTTTAAGAGCCGCTTGGTAATGTTCCAGAGGCTGCTGCCTATCCGCCCGGGTCCTGGCAAAGCCCCAGCCAGTCCACAAGTGAGGAAGGAAGAGTGTGGCTCTGTGCCCTGCGGGTCTTGGGTCCATTTGTGTCTGTCTGCACCATCGGCTGGCCTCTCCCAACCACTATGTTGCCTCAGTGATCTCGAGCCTGTGAAGCTTCTGACTCTTGCTGCCTCTGAGAATACGCTGTCCCACTCCCAGCTCAAGGCCTTCCTGAAGGGTTGGGTCTGGAAGCTGCTTGCCTTTCTGGGGCTTGAGAAAACACCAATAACACCTCCCAGGTCTACACCCTGAACTCTGTAGGGCAGTAGCTGCCCTTTACACTCAGGATACGAACCTCCCCTCCCTATCGTGGGCAGCCGAGGCCTCAGGGACCCAGCTGCAGGTCATCTCTGACCTCAGCTCTCACCACCATCCCCTCCTCTGCACCACCAGCCTCGCATCCCTTAGACATGCTGAGCCTGCCCCACCGCAGAGCTGGTTCTCTGCCTGCACCGCTCTTCCTACACCACCGAATCCTCAATTTCCTTTGTCAGCTTAAATGTCACCCCCTGTCTTAGTCTCCTCGGGCTGCTGTAACAAAATCCCACACACGGGGTGTCTTATGAACAAGGGAAATGCATTTCTCGCAGTTCTGGAGGCTGGAAGTCCCAGATTAGGGTGCCAGCGTGGTCGGGTTCCAGTGAGAGCCTCTCCCCAGGTTTTGTCTCCTCTCTGTGTCCTCACATGATGGAAGGGCCAAGGGAGCTCTGGGGACCTCTCTTTGACAAGGGCACTAACCTCACTGGTGAGGGCTCCACCCTATGACCTACTCCGCTCCCCAAGACCCCACCTCTTAACACCACCACTCTAGGGGGTAGGATTTCAACATATGAATTTGAGGGGACACAAGCATTCAGATCATAATACCCTCTCCGAGGATCCTAACTGACCACCCTATTTTACTTTCTATTTTCTATCGTGCTCTATTTTATTTATCTGAAACATGCTTGTTTCTCTCTGGCTCCACTAGCAGGTGAGGACGTGGGAGCAGGCCACCAGGGTCACATGCAGGGGGTAGCAGTGGTGCCTAAAGGGAAGAATGCTGTGTGGTCAGGGACAAGCCACCCTCCGCTATTGGGCCCTGGTGCTGGCTGAACCTCTGCGTAAGGAAATCCCACAGCGACACCATCCCTGGTGCTCCGCCAGCCTGCCATGGGGAAGAGGAAAAGCAGGGGTAGGAAGGGGCCCTCCCACTGAGCTTCTTCTTCCCCATTCAGACCTGGTTTTGCCATCCTGGAGCAGTTCATGCAGTGCTGTCTGAAACAGCAGGTGTCCCACAAAAGGAAAAGAAGGCTGAAAAAAGTTGCATGCTGTACACATTCTTATGGAAAATCATGGCATGTTGAAGGCTCTGAGAAGTCCTGCAATGAAGACATCCATGTCATTTAGCTTCTACTTTATTTGACCACAGAACTCTTTACGTTTCTCACATATTCCATAGAGGATTCCGTAGAATATTCCATAAGAACTGCTTATGTGGAGGAAGAGTACTAGGTGTAAAATCAGAGCTCAAGTTCTGAATCCTGATGCTTATAGGTTGTCTCCTCCAAGCCACAGATTTCCCATCTGTAGAATACAAGGGTCATCCCAACCTCCCAGGGTTGCTTAAGGGTGGAACGAACCCCTTAGGGTTGTATCAAGCAGACAGGTCTTTGGTAAGTATCTTATAAGCTGTAAAGAGCTGTGCAGCTACCTGACCATTTTAACTTGCTTAACCTGGGAAATAGCATACACTGTTTACCTGACAAGGTAAGGGGATGCCAAAGGGAAAGGAAGTGACTAATCCAAGATCAGCCAACCCAAGTGACCCTGTTAGGGCTCAGAGAGGAGGAGGAACTACGCAGCAGTCCCATGAACAATGAAGGCCCCAGGGCCAGAAGAACACAGGTGACATGAATGCAGGGCAAGCCCTGGGAAGAGGTGTCTGGTGGGAGGGAGGTGCTGACTATCCCTGCTGATCCCTGCTTGAGGCTTCAGAGGGGACAGCCAGGCTGGTGGCCCCTCTCTCCCCCGCCTTTCTTGTCCCCTCACCCCCACCCCCCGGGGGACTCTGCCTGGAGCAGAGTGGATCTGTGAGTTTGCTCAAACTACCTTAACGAACCTCTGTAGGTGTTTAACCAACAGAAATGTACTGTCTCACAGTTCTAGAGGCCAAAAATCCAAAGTCAAGGTGTGATCAGGGTTGCGTGCAGGAGAGTGTGCTCTAGGCCTCTCCCTTGTATTTTCATATTATCTTCCCTCTATGTGACTAAATGTACTCTTTTTATGAGGACACCAGTCATATTGGATTAGTCCACTCCAGCGACCTCATTTTAGCTCAGATGATGTCTGTAAAGACCCTCCCTCCAAAGAAGTTCACATTCCAAGGTACTGGGGTTAGGACTTCAGCATATGGTATTTTGTTTTGTTTTGTTTTGCTTTTTAAAGATTGTATTTATATATTTGACAGAGAGAAAGAGCACACAAGCAGGGGGAGCGGCAGAGGGAGAAGCAGACTCCCCACTGAGCGGGGAGCTCGACCAGGGTTCGAACCCAAGACCTGGGATCATAACCTGAGCCACCCAGGTGCCCCCAGCATATGGTTTTTTTGGGGGACACAATCCAACCCATTTTCCCCAGTGGGCATCTCCCTCCATCTCAGCAGCCCAGCTCCTTGGCCGGAAGCATGTGGATTCCAGCCTGCCGGAAGAGAGAGCCCATAATTGTGTTAATTGCCACAATACTAGACCTGCAATTAATATGCCAGGGGAACAAAGAGTAGATGCGCTAATAACACATAATTGGACCTAAACTGCACCCTCGGCAGAGCAGTGCAACCAAGCTCTGCTGTTTGTGCTCCTTTTCAAATTAGCAAAGATGAGCAAATTAACATCTGCCTCCCCTTCACCCTGCTTAGACGGGAGCTCTGGGGGGAATCTCGGGGATGGGGCATACATGGCCAGGCCCCCAGTCAGATCCTGTTCAGGGCCAAGCACCGGAGGCCCGGCCTTTGGAACTATAGGCAAGTGAGAACTTTGAAGGAGTGAGGAGTCTAGACCTTTCCTCAAGGATTTCCTGACATCAGGGCAGCCTGTCTGGGCCTTGGCAGGTACCCAGCCCAGGGTGGCAGGGACTCTTGTGATTAGGGCATGTGGAGTGACTCACAGAGCACTGTGATTATGTGGGGCCCCAGGGAAGGTTTGAGTCAATGTAGAGGCTGGAGGTTAATGCTGCAACCTCTCCTCCTCCATTCCTGGGGTGGCAGTCAAGTCCCATTGGCAGGGGGCAGACCCTCTTCAGAATGACCGAGAGGTGTTTTTGGCTTCTCTTCCTTCTGCCCTCCCAGCACACAGGCCTGGACTGCCCCTGATCTCTGTGGCTCCAGGGCTGGGCTGTCTGGGGCCTGCCCTGCCCATGCTTGCCTCCTTTGGCTGGAAGGGGCCCTGCACAGGCCTGGAGGCAGCTGACACGAGCTTTAGTCTCAGCTCGGCCCACTGCTTGCCCAGCTAGTGCCAAGCAGAGCCTCCTTACCCCGGGCCACACATCTGGGGCTCCTTGTCCTTAGTCTCCCCGTCTGCTTCTTCCCTCTTCCTTGGGCTCCCAGGCCTCCCACACTGAATGCTCAGGGACCCAGCCTGCAGCCTGCAGGTCAAGGACCCTTCCCTCATTCTCCTATCACTGCACCTTGAGGGCTGTGAAGCTAGGGGATCATGGGACAGTAGGATTAATAGATTCTTTACTTGGTCCCTTCCCCTCCCCTTTTAGGCCACTGGGTTGCCCCTGCCTCCCTGGACCTGGGCAGAGGGTGACAGCCCTACTTGCTCAGCATTTTCTTGAAATTTGGGTCCCTGTGTTTCCCAGGCTGTGCTGGCCTCCTCCCTGGGTTCTGCCAAGCCAGCCACAGAAAGGCTTATTGAGAATTCTCTGAGACTTATCTGCCATCCTGGGGAAGACTATCTTCCCTCCACAGACAGTCTCCTCATTTGCATTCACTAAATCAATGTCCTTGGATGATCAAAGCCCAGCACTGTGATGTCGGGGAGGTTGGCTTGAGAGGGAAAAAGGAGCAGGACTTCTCCCTTTCTTCCTGCCCCTTGAGACCCAAGGGGGACTAGAAACAGAAGGCCCTTAGGAGTGCAAAAAGGAGCAGGAGCAGAAGTCCCTCTCTAGGTAAGGTTCTCTCCCCCTGCTTTTCCTGCAGGCTGAACAGACAATGGGACAGTGCCAGGCCCATGTCAACAAGCCTTGCTGTGACGTTGCAGGCCCTGAAGATGACTGGGGCTGTGGTCAAACCAGAGGGGAAGGAGGCTCCAGGAGGAAGCCACCTAGCTCATCCTCCCCAGTCACACATGCAAGGGCTCAGGCCTCAGGGCTCTGAAAGAACCCACAGGATCTGGGGAGGCAGAGAGAAGAGAATTAATCCCCCCCACCCCGCCCCCCACACATACCCCTCCCTGTCCACATGTGGCCAAGACCGTCCTCACTGGAATAACAGCCAACATCGATTGAACACTGACAATGTGTCAAGCACGGTGCTGAGTCCTTTCTGTGCATTATCACATTTAATCCACACAGCATCCCTCTTAGGTTTGTGTCATTCTGATCCCTGTTTTATAGATGACAAAACAAAGGAGAGGCCACTGAGCTAGGAAGTGGCTGACTTTGGGTGAAATGAGAGAAGGTATAAGAAAGGCTGAGTTATCTGAAAAGGGCTACAGGCAGAGAGAAGACCCTCTCTGCAGGAGTGTGAGCATGGGAGCCGGCCTGGGATGACCAGGACAGGACTGTCCTTACACAGAGGGGACGTATTGGCTGCCCTTTGGGATGGAGTAGGAGGCCTGGTCATTGGTCGGGCATCTGCTTCCCCTCATGCACCACTGAACTTCTTGGCTCCCTCCTGACCACTCACCATATCACGAGCCAGACGGGGATCAGCCAGGCAATTCTCCCATCTTGATGCCTCTGACTTTCCAGGGCCATGTAGAAACTTTCACCATCGAGCAGCTTCTGGGAGATAGTAATGTCATGGGTAAGAGCTTCTACTTTGGAGTCAGAACGACCTAGGTTCAAATCCTGACTCTCCCACTTAGCTGTGTGGCTTTGGGCAAATTACTTAACCTCTCTCAGCCCTGGTATTGTGCTCTGGAAGTGAAGGGTAATAACGGTGTTCATCGCACATGATTGCTGCTAGCATAGAATCAGACCGTGCACACAGCAGGTTTCAGTCAAGGCCAGCCCACAGTAAACACTCCTTATGTGAGCTCCTGATCTCTAGGGGTGGTTAATCCCTGAGACGCAGATGAGGAAGGAGAGAAAGAGAAGTAATCCTGAGCAGGTAAATGAGCTGGAGGCTTGAAAGGGCCAGAAATTCTGAACTCTGGCTCTTGATTTTTTATTGGTGTTTGATGACTAAGGGAGTTTGAAAGGCAAGGAAAAAGCACAGAAAGGCCAGAAGAGTCTCACCTGAGGCCAGCTGCACTACTTCTCCACTGTCAAGTCACTTAACCCCTCTGAACTCCTGCTTCCCATCAGTTAAACAGGAATGAGTGAAAACATCTACTAAGAAGATTGCCATGAGGCCCCAGAATATATAGATGCCCTCCAAAAAAAAAGGAGCATGCTAAACAAATGCAAACTCTAAAGTGCTATGTGAAAGCAGTATTTAAAAAATATTTTTTTAGAGTGGGGGAGGGAGAGGCAGAGGGAGAGAGAAAATCTTAAGCATGCTCCACACCTAGCCCAGAGCCCAATGGGGGGCTTGATCTCACAACCCTGAGATTACAACCTGAGCTGAAATCAAGAGTTGGAGGCTTAACTGACTGAGTCCCCCAGGCTCCACTGTGAAAGCAGTTATACCCATCATCAACTCCTCAGACTTTTCAAAGCATAGTCACATATATTATCATCCTGGTGAGAACAGTTACTGCTAATTGAGCACCTACTATGTGCCATACATGGAGATAAACCCTTGTTATGCATCCTCTCATTCAATCTTCCCAATAATCTAAAGGGGGTATTTATTATTATTATTATTATTATTATTATTATTATTATTTGCCCATTTTATAGTTAAGGAACCTGAAGCTCACAGTAAGTAGGTTGTCTGTTTTTTTCTGCTAATAACTGGAACCCAGGTCTGTCTTAATCCAGATGATGTAAGACATTCCTCCTATTTTTTAAACCATTTTATCCTACCCTCCCCCCAATTCCAGGAAATATGATGGAACTATGGATAGAACCCAGGCCTGTGCTGCTTCCACTATGCTCAAGCAGTGCCTGTGTTCCCTCGGTGGTGCTGAGGAAGCTGTGCTGTTTCTGCCCCTACCCTTTCTCTCTTTCCTTGCTCCTTCCCATACACCTATTCCAGTCCTGTCCATTGGGATGTAGTGTGCAGACAGGGCACATCATATTTGGCTTGTGTATCCACAGACACTCCGTGCCTGTCCATATGTTGTTTGTGTGTGTAGTGCATTGTGTGTATAATTCATGCTGCAGAGTGAAATAGCCACCCCTCCCCTCCGCTATACAGAAGAGTAGATCCTGTGCTTTCCCAGCTGCCCGTCCTTTTTTTTTTTATTTTTTATTTATTTATGATAGTCACACACACAGAGAGAGAGAGAGAGAGGCAGAGACATAGGCAGAGGGAGAAGCAGGCTCCATGCACCAGGAGCCCGACGTGGGATTCGATCCCGGGTCTCCAGGATCGCGTCCTGGGCCAAAGGCAGGCGCTAAATCGCTGCGCCACCCAGGGATCCCCCCAGCTGCCAGTCCTAAGAGAGGAGGGGACTTTGCTGTGTGTTACCTTTGGGAAAAGCATAAATAGAAAACTTCAATCCTTGTCCCACCTTCTGGGAGTGCAAAAGCGAGCTTCCTGGCTTCTATGGGAAGTTGAGATTTTCCTTCTTTGGAAATTCTCAGCAGCCAGTGATAGCTGATGTTGCATCTATGGGAATTCCTACTTCCTTTGCAAATGGAGAGCCATAGAAAGCATTAGAGGGAGTCTGAAACAAACTGTGGAGCCTCGACCTGACTCCCTGGAGACCACAGGGATGTCCCTTCCTAAGTCAGAGTTTCTGCCATTCCAGAGAGGCGTGAAGCTCTGTCTTTGGACAGTGATGAACAATAATGATAGCTAATGTTGTATGTTGGCTCATTTATTCCTCACTAACCCCCAGTGAGGCAGGCACAGACTTATCTTTGTTTTACAATTGATACTAAGATTGGAGAGATGAAGTATCTTAACCAAGAGGTAGAAATCCACACAGTTAGCAAGAAACACAAAAAGGCTCACTGCAGCTCTCTTTGTAAAAGCAAAAGACTGGAAACAACCGGTCAGTGTGGGAGAATTAGAGAACTGATCATCAATAGAGAACTGATTAAGTTTGGTATGTCCACATGAATGAAAACGTTACATGTATGTAGGTCAGACATATAAATGTTATATGTATGTCACACTTTTGACACCACATGTGTGAGTTTTCTACACCAAGCTATTCTGATTCTCTGCTGACACCAACTAGGTGTGCTGGAATTAAATTCAGTTCTGAGAAAAAAAAAATTCAGTTCTGAGGGGCAGCCCTGGTGGTGCAGCGGTTTAGTGCCGCCTGCAGCCCGGGGTTTGATTCTGGGGACCCTGGATTGAGTCCCACATTGGGTTCCCCGTATGGAGCCTGCTTCTCCCTCTGCCTGTGCCTCTGCCTCTCTCTCTTTCTCTCTCTCTGTGTCTCTATGAATAAATAAATAAAATCTTTAAAAAAATAAATTCAGTTCTGACACTAACTACTTAGAATTAGTGCAGACCCCACAGGTTAAGGGCTTATTCTCACACTGTCCCCACTTCAGATGCCATTTGCAAGTAGTGGGTTCCCAGGTGATCTCCACTTCTGTCTAACTTGGGTATCTTTTCAGGGATTCCTATGACTTCCTCCTCAGGTTCAATGTTTTGCCATAAGGACTCACAAAACTCAGGGAAACACTTTACTTACATTGATCAGATTGTTATAAAGGCTGTTATAAAGGATACAAGTGAACAGCCAGATGAGAAATACATGGGGCAAGGCGTGGAAGGGTCCTGAGCACAGGATGAAGGTGCATGACCCTCCCAGCACATGGTTATATTCACCAACCCAGAGGCTCTCTGCATCCTGTAGTTCAGGGATTTGGGGAGAGGCTGCATCACATTGGTGTGATCATTAATTTGATCTCCAGCCCCCCTCTCCTCCCAAATTGGTGGGGGTAGGGGCTGAAAGTTCCAAGCTTCTATCGTGGCTTGGTTATTCTGTTGACTAGCTCCCATCCAGGAGCCTGCCTGGAGTAGGGTCATTACAACAAAAGATGCTCCTCTTATTCAGGAAACTCCAAGGGATTAAGCAGCTCTGTGCTAGGAATTGGAGATGAAGACCAACTATCTGTTTCTCATTATATCAGAATATCATACTGCATGAGAGAGAGCAATGCAGCTCTGAAAGGGATACTGAGATGGAGCCATCGCCAGGATATTTTATTAAGTGAAAAAAAGCAAGATGCAGATGTGATACACTTCTTTTTATCTAAGAAAGGGGAGAGAAATACATTCGAATACTTGCTTGTACTTTAAAAACCCACGGTGGAAGGAGAAGCCAAAAACAGACAAGATGGTAATTTTAAGGGCAGGCAGGGACAGAGAGGAGACAGGAATGGAACTAGACTTTTCTGAGCCCCTTGTTTTCCGGATTTGACCTTGGAGACTTGTAACTATTTAATATGGCCATAAAACAAAATTAAATGGATATTTTGCAAAAGGAAAGGAAATGGATAGAGATGGGTTTGAGCTCAGGTGTTCAACTGGAGCCTCTGGTACTTTTGCCCCTCATTAATAATCTCTTCTCAGATGAATGGAGAGACCTGGCTGGGCCACCAGAAGGCAGAGACGGGGCCAGATTTTGAGGCTTCTGGGGCTCCAGGGGGACCCTAGTAATGGTGCTGGGGGCTATGGTTTTAGTATTTGGGGGAGTTTATAAATGGTAGCTCTCATCAAGATTCCTACAGCCTTCTTCTGCTGCATCCCTAAAGTGGGTTAACTCCCAAGCATATCATTCACACACTGTCCACAGTGACTGCTTACCTGCCTCCTGCCAACACTGGCCTAGCGCACACTGCGCTAACAGTCCTAACATGCCACCTAAGAGTAGTTCAGCTTCCTGGCAAAGAGTTTTCCTTCATGCAACCATGTTTCCATCTCTCAGCAACCCTGGACCTGGGAATGACTGTCTTGGTGAGAAACCCAGGCTGGGTGAGGACACCTCCCATGGCTTCAGAAGAGCTGCCAGGTGGCACAGCCCAACGTGTGACTGTGGTGGACCAGGTTGATGACTCCACGCTGCAGGATCCTGCACAGGACTTTTTTTTTTCCTCCTTTGGTATTTGAGGTGTCATTTCACGTAGTGGCTGAGGCATTATTTGGGGCTCAGACCTACATAAAATTGAATCCCAGGTGTCCTTCTTTCTAGCAATGGGTTCCTTCATCAAATTTTACATTTTTTTCATCTAGCACAATAAAAATACCTTCTGGAAAGGTTGCTGGAGGCATAAATGAAATGTCCCCAGTAAAGAGCTTAGTAGAGACTGTTGTAGAATCATTTCAGAAGATTCCAGCACCCTAGAAATTCTGTGTTCTTCTACCCTATTGCACAGACAGGTTGACTATATGCCCTGAAGCTCAAGTCTTCCTTGGCCTGGTTATCAAAACCCCCTCCTATTCTCCCATGTCTGACCCTGACTAGGACAAGCCTGGGCGCCGCCACATTTCCCACTGCCCCGGGACCCCTGGTGCTCCTGCTCTCTCAGCGGCTGGCTCTGCTCAGGAGAGACTCGTCTCTGCTAACTGTTAAGACTGGATCAATCCCCATCTCAAGGCCATTTTGAGGATTAACTAATCCATCACGTGGAAACCTCTGAAAAGTGCCAGTATGGCCGAGGCTATTGTTAGGCAGATTGGGAACTGAGTTCACTGGTTTCCCTGGCTTCCAAGACAGTCAAGCTGAGCCTTGCAGCTGGACTAACTCTCCCGTGGGCAAAATCTCAGCGTGCGCAGGTTGCACCGAGCTCACCAGCCTTCTGTCTGCCCACCTGCCGCTGAACCTTTTTGATCTACCTCTTTGTTTCTTGCAGGGACAGTGAGGGTAAGAAGATAAAGGGATCAGGATTCCAGACACCAAAGAGCTTTTGTTTGTGTTTCTAATAGAACTGAATACATTACATTTTCCCTCTTGGCATCATCCTATTGACTCAAGACATAGTTCTGAGATTTATACCTTTCTGATTTTGTGTTTTGTAAATCTCAGAGGTCCCTGGAACCTCTGATACAGGGTATTTTTTTTTATCTCTGAGGTGTGAGGTCCACAATACAAAAATGAATACAGGAATTCATTTAGTTCATCTCTGAGTATTTATTGAGTGCCTACTGTATGTTCAGTAGTATCCAAGCAGCTCGGAAGATTCCCGAGGGAATAAAGAGAAGTTCCTGTGTGTTTAGACATACTATGTATTAAGGTCTGCGAGGCACTTTCATTGCATCATCTCATTTAATTCTGACAACTCCAGGAAATAGGTATTGCTATCTCATTTCATCTCTTCATAGGGTGAGGAAAGTGACTCAAAGTTCTGTGACTTGTTGAGATCACTCATAGTAGAAGCAGCTAGAGTTCCTGTTGGGCACTGTCTGACTGTACTGTCTGGGTCCTTTTCACTAGAGCACTAACCCAGGGACACACATGGGTTAGCTGGTCAATGGCACAGCGTAGCACATTATCAATCCTAGACACTGCCTGGTTCAGAGCAGGTGGGGATGGGGGAGGGCTGGCCTGAGGGTCAGGAGGACTTCCTGCAAGAGACAGCCTGGGTGTGACTTGGGGCAAAGGTAGCGGAAGATGTGCTATATAATGCTGGCCTTGGGCAGAAATGAACTTGAGCACAGACTGTGTTGAGAGAGCAGGCCCTGAGGTCAGCTGGGTGGGGCATGAGGTTGTGGGTTGGAAAGCCTGGCAGAGCTGTCTGGACCAGATAAAGTGGCAACAAGGAGCTCACAAGAGCCAGAGGGGGAGGGAAGCAAAAGCAATGCCTGGAGAGGATGACTCTGCAGTGCTGGTTAGAAGGAGTGAGGCAGTGAGGCCTGGAGATGGTGGGAACCTGATAGGCAGGTACCTTGGGAAGGGTCTACCCAAGGGGAGTCTAGTCCTCTCAGATCCAGGGAAGGGGGTGGCAGGGGAAGGAAAGATATAGAACCTGCAGGCTTTGGTAGAGGATGCCTTTGAGGGACAAATGAAGGGAGGAGCATATTCCATTACAGGTCACTTTGGAATTCCCATCAGGTCACATCATGCTTCTGATCACTGCTATTCAAGGTCCTCCTGTGGCCTGTGGGGCCATCCTGCCACTTAAGGCACCTCGTACTCTGGTCTGAATCCACTTTTGGGGCTCTTCACCCACTATTCTCCTAAATAAATCCTCTGCTCTGCTCCTACTTCTCCCAGCCTCCGGGTTTGGGGGGCACCTCCGGAACCCCATCCCAAGCCCACCTCCACAAAACCCACCAGCCTGCCAGACCCTCTCAGCTATCACAGCTATGACAAATACAGTGTTCCAAAGCACAGTCGGATAGTTCTTTCAGCACAGTCTGGAATAGTCCACATCTTACCTTTATTTAGCTTTTGCTGTTGGGGTCTCCCTAATGTCACCGCCCTGTCCTCGAGGGCTGATGGTTCTTTTCACTACACGTGTCCCCGTCTCTGTTCCTTCATCTGCAAAATGGAGCCAATCATGTCTCACAGGGCACAGTGCCTGGCACTGGAACCCATCCATGACTGTGCCAGTCCTTACCTCTCGTGGGGGGCGCTCCCAGGGGCCGAGGGAAGGTGGGGGAACCAGGGGAGAAGGGGAGGACTCAAGCCCCCGGGGAGGAACCCTTCTCCATCCAGTTGGAGCTCTGAATTTCCAAGGGGCCATTGGTATCCTACTAAGATCAGCGAGAAAGGGCGAGCACGAGCCATCTTTAAAAAGCCATCACAGATTTCTCCAGCGAATGAAGGAATCTGGACATACAGATTCAGGACAGACTCCTGGGGGCAGCGGGTGCCCCTCCCAGGGCTGAACCGCGGCAGCACGTGCTGCGCGGTCCTTGACTGTTGACAAAGTGCGTTTTGCTGACCTCCGTCTCCTTGAAAACCTTTCACGACCCCGCAGGCTCCCTGTCATCACCTCCATCCGCAGAAGAGGACGCCAGGACTCTGGGAGGCGACGTGCCTTGCCTGAGGTGGCCCAGCGTGTTGGCGCTCAGGGACCCCCGGGCGGCACCCTCTGCCCCTGCCCCTCCAGGGGGTCTGCACTCCGCGGGGCTGGAAGGCCGGCGCCGACCCCGGGGTACTGCTTGGCCCCGGAGCCTGGGGGCGCGCGTAGCGTAAGGGTAAGAGGTTGATGCTCTCGCCCGCGGCGGGCGCAGAGGGTGCAGCCCCTGGACATCTCGGGCCGCTCGGGAGGTACCCCGGGCGCGGCCCCGCGTGCGCGCGCTCCGAGCTCAGCCGGCAACTCGAGGCGCGCGCCCCGCCCCCCCCTCCCCGCCTCCCCGCGCGCGCCCCCGCCTCCCCGCCTCCCCGCCTCCCCGCGCGCGCCCCTCCCGCCTCCCCGCCTCCCCGCGCGCGCCCCTCCCGCCTCCCCGCCTCCCCGCCTCCCCGCGCGCGCCCCTCCCGCCTCCCCGCCTCCCCGCGCGCGCCCCTCCCGCCTCCCCGCCTCCCCGCCTCCCCGCGCGCGCGCCCCTCCCGCCGCCACCCCGCCCCCGCCGGTACCCTCGCCGGACCCGAGAGAGCGCGCCGCCGCCATCTTAGTTGCTGCCGCCGCCTCCAGCCCGGCGCTGCCTCGGCGGAGGGGAGGGCGCCCGCGGCCCGAGCGCGCGGCCCAGCGTCGCGGCGGCGGCTCGTCGGACCCCGGAGCTCGCCGCGGCGCGGAGCAGCCGGCCTCCGCCGCCAGAGCCCCGCTCGGCGCCCCGCGCGCGTGCCAGCCGCTCCCGCCTCGGGCCGGCCGCGGCGCCGGGAGCCCGAGCGATGCTGCGCCGCCCTGCACCCGCGCTGGCCCCGGCCGCCTGGCTGCTGCTGGCCGGGCTGCTGAGCGGCGGCGTGGTCTGGGCCGCGCGAGGTAAGCGGCGGGCCGGGGCGGGCCGGGGGAGCCGGGGTGGGCGCGCGGCGCCGGGGGAGCGGGGCTCCGGCCCCGGGCGGGTGGGGGGGGCGTGCACACGGGTCCGCGGCGGCCGCAGGCGGGGGTGCACCCCGGGGAGAGGCCGCGGAGGTCTGTGGTGTGCTCAGGTGCCCCGGGCTGGGGGCGCGCGCTCGGTGTTGGTGTGCGCTTACATAAGAGCCCACTCACTCCTCCGCATCCCCTTCCCGGAGCCCGGGTCTCCGCCGCTGCACCGCGGACACCGCATCCTCGCCCCTTTCCGCCTCCTCCCGGGGTCCTTTAAATCTTGTCTGTCTGCAGACAAGCCGAGGCTGAAACTTCTCGCTCCCCGCCCACGTTTCATCCAAAGGTGAAAATTGTGCTGAGGTTTACGATCGCGGTCTCGTCCCGCGTTAGCAATCTGCGTCTCCTCCGCTCCCGCCGACCCCGCGGTGCAGTTTTTCTGACGGTAATTCAGATCGTGCAGGGGCTTACAGGTTCTCCTTGATTGCTCAGGGCCGACGTTATTGTACGGTTACCGGGCCAAAAACAAAACAAAACAAAACAAAAGACTTCTTGGTGAATCGATGGTTTTGTTGTTGTTTTAACCTTCATCCACTTAACCTTTTAAACAGTGCACGCTTTCTGATATTGACTGATCTTGCCAGCGAAAAGCTTACGCATTGCAGATACGTGCCTCCGAATGGGTCTTGGAATCGTAAACATTTTCCTTGGCCTTGGAGCAAAGTAATCTAGGTGTAGTCTATAGAGTACTTGGATCTTTTTTTTTTTTTTTTTGATTTTTAATCAAAAATCTTGGGGGGAGAGGGCTGATAAAAGTCTAGATGAAACGATCATGTTTCATATTAATAAGCTTTTTTAAAAAAAATCCTCATTTTTCTCTTTCTTGGCATGACAGACGGAGAGAAGTATGGTGTTCACAAATTAAAGGGCAGAAGAGGCAAATGCATCTTTTGTTCCGTGTTCCTTTCTTCACACTGGGGATGATAAACTTTTGATTACTTCATTTCTAACATTCTGTTGACTGTCATAGTCAAGTCTCAGTCACGAAGTATAGAATCGCTCTCACTTTGGTTTTTAGAGGTTACATCAAGCTGAGTTTGAAATGTTCTTTCCAGATGTGGAGTGGAGGTCTGAAAGTCCAATATATCCAGGAGAAAATGTCAAAGTTCTGCATCTCTTGGGGAAAAACCCACACATTTTCAAAAATATGTGCTTGGACTGAGTATTTTGGGAACAGTTCAAATATGTTTAGTTTAGTCAGTGATAATGTTTCTTGTTAAAAAAACATCCATTCACCTCCACTTGCTTTTCATTATTGAATTACTTAAGTTTATATTACAAATATAAATTTCAGCTATCAAGTATCTTCATTGTGGTGGGCAAACAAATGTTACGTGAAAGATGTATTGAGCGCCGAGTCCTTTGTAATTTGCTGATTTTCTATGACCTTTTCTTGGTGCATTTATAGTACTTAAGAATAATTAGTCTGCAAAATAAAAATACATTTTAAACATCAGTTATTCTGTTGCTTTTTTTCTTTCCCCCAGCCTGCGGTAGAAAATGTCTTGTGAATATTACAAGAAATGCTAATAAAATGGTTTCACTTTGAGGGGTTACAAATGGATTTTATATGTAAATATGCAATTTATAGAGGCACTTTCTGTGAGCTCATTTTGAAGCGTGATCATTTCAACTAATATCTGACTTCTTTATTGCCATAAGACTAGCTATATCTAATAATTATTAATGGGATAAATATCATGTATAAATTGCTAGAGAGAATGTTAGATTTTGTAATATAAGTTGCATCTTGACTATTAATTAGTTGTTTAATAGAGAACTCTGCATTTCACTTTATTTTATGTTTTTTTATTTTTTTTTTTTTAATTTTTTTTTTTATTTTATTTATGATAGAGAGAGAGAGAGAGAGAGAGAGAGAGAGAGAGAGAGAGAGAGGCAGAGAGAGAAGCAGGCTCCATGCACCGGGAGCCCGACGTGGGATTCGATCCCGGGTCTCCAGGATCGCGCCCTGGGCCAAAGGCAGGCGCTAAACCGCTGCGCCACCCAGGGATCCCTGCATTCACTTAATTTGTAGCTGCGGTTCTTAAAAAAATATCAAGTAAATCAAAATGTTAGGCATATCCTTGGCATGCCCTAGGTTACCTGCTTTTCTTTCAGTCAGTCAACGATCAGGAAATAGTCAATTGAAATGGAGAATATAGAAAGCTTATGAATATATATATTTTTAAATGCGAGCTTGGACTGCCATTTCAAAGCCAAAGAAATAATTTTCATTGTTATTTTCCTGCTCGTTTGCGCACAGACCTCTCAGTGAGGCCTCCCCTCACCATCCTATGTAAAATTTCATCTCTCTTTGAACTCCTGAATCCTCTTTTCCCTGCTTCACTTTTTCTGTTTCCATAGCACTTAATCCCATTCTGACACCCTTAATTTATTTATTATCTGTCTCCCCTCACTAGGACATAGGCCCCAAGATGGAAAGGTAGTTTGGTCTGTTCTGTTCACATGTGAATCCTATCACCCCCACATCCATACAGTACCAGTAGGTACTCAGTATTTGTTGAGTGATTGACTGGATGGACAACTCTTTCAGTTTTGATCAGTTTTGACAGTATAGTATTTTGGTGTCCTAGTTTTCATCTGGCAGGTAAATGTTATATACTGAAAAAGGCATTACAGAGGATAAAACACACCTAAATTCTGCATTGTGGATATAGAAAATCATTAGATAATTTTTCAAGGATCTGTTCTGTTGATTGCACTGTTGGGGATATTAGAGCATAAAAATCTGTAGCAGCTTTTGAGGTCTGTAGGTTTGTTTTTTTTTTTTAAGATGTTATTTATTTATTCATTCATTCATTCATTCATTCAGAGAGAGAGAGAGAGGCAGAGACACAGGCAGAGGGAGAAGCAGGCTCCATGCAGGGAGCCGGACATCGGACCCCCTGGGTCTCCAGGATCACGCCCCGGGCCACAATTTAAAAATTGTTCAATAATTTTTTAAACATTATTTATTTATTTATTTGAGTGAGAGAGCAGAGTGAGTGAGAATACAAGTGGGAGGGAGGGGCAGAGGGAGAGGGAGAAGCAGGCTCCCCACTGAGCAGGGAGCCCTGACACAGGGGCTCACTCAATCCCAGGACCTTGGGATCATGACCTAAGTCGAAGGCAGACGCTTAACCGACTGAGTCACTCATGGCCCCTGTGTCTAATTTTTTTTTTTCTAATTTTTAAAAATGCTGTGATTCTCTGCTTTTTTGGAAAGTGGTTTCTTAATTTGTTACCTTTTTTTCTCAAGTAGCTTTGAGGAAGAATGCTTTGAATATAGACTTCAATATTATATATAATCTAATCGTTGTATTACTGGGAGTAAATGTCATTTATTTCATGTAGGAGACCTATATAACTACTAAAGAAATGATAAAATATTAATTCTAAATGTATTCCAATTTAAGAGCTTTAACTCAGTTAACTGGAACCTTCAGTTAACTACAAGAGTTCGTCTTCTGGCTGCAGACCACTTTAAGGAGGAATAACATAAAATCAAGCAATTTCATAGGAATCCTTTTGCAAAAGGAAGTTTTAGGAGTTCATATCATATGTTATCCTTGTCAGTACTATTTGATTTTTAAGACAAAACAATATTTCAGTTTTAGATGTAAAGAATATGACCCATAAGTGAAATTTTAATGAAATAAAACATTTTTGCATTCAAGTTAGAGAATGCTGTAATTCTATGATACTGGTTGCAGGACTTGGCTAAGTTCATTAAACCATCTCTTAATCTTTAAAGTGAGGATGTTAAAGTTTTAAGACATTTTTTAAAAGGATTGAATTATTTTTGTTATTGCTTTCTAAGACAGGAAAATATAATAGCGGGTGGGGTTGGGTAGAAAGTCTTCATTTATAAGAGTTGAAACAAAATAGGAGGTCTGATTATCCTGAAAATCACCAGGAGTCTATTGCTCACATCTTCTGGTTAATTG